TGCCGGTTATTATCTCTATGGTTAAAAGGGCAAAGATAAGACTTACAGAAGAACAGGTATAGAGAAAACTCTGTTGATAACCTTTGGTAATCCGCCTTGGAGAATGAGGACTGTGAACTCCCCTATCTTCAGAGCTTTCTAATATTCAGATACTAGAGGGTAAGACTGCACACTGCTACTATCTAGGGAGGTTAGACTTCTCTAGCACAAGGTCAGGAGAAGGAGGACTGCCAAGTTGGTGGCACATGATTACAGCTCCAGGAAGAACTTGGGAGGCTGAGTCTGGTAGATTTTAAATTTGAAGTCAGTCTAGGCTACATAGCAAATTCCAGGGCAGATTGGGCTACCTAATGTGACTCCATCATAATAAATAAACCAAACCAAACCAAACCAAAAAATACAAAGCAACCAAATAAAACACAGGACAACTCATTCTCCAGACCCTTCCTAGGGAGATATTACTCTACTTCTTAATAAAAGTTTTCTTGCTTGCTCTTCAAAAACAAAACATGAAACAGAAGGAACAGAAAAAGGCTAGAGTGAACAACAACAACAAAAACGTTGAGGCTGTTTACAAGAAGCAGTTATGGCCAGGCAGCAGTGGCTCAAGCCTCCTAGCAAGAGGCAGGGAATCTCTAACTAGCTGTGAAGCTAGTCTTCAGAGTGAGTTCCAAAACTGCCAGAGCGTCACCATCCCTGGAGAGAGAGAGATAGAGAGATAGAGAGATAGAGAGATAGAGAGGGGGGGGAGAGGGAAGGAGGGAGGGAGGGAGGGAGGGAGGGAGGGAGAGAGAGAGAGGAGAAGGAAGAGAAGGAGGAGGAGGAGGAGCAACAGCAGCAACAGCAGGAGGAAGCGGTAGTTCTAAGTACTTGAAAGACAGATAATAGAACGCCAACTCCTGCCAAGTGGTAACAAAACACTACAATAAAGGCTTTAAACTCTGCCACTGTTTTCTGGAGTCCTGAGACCACAACTGCTCTCAGTTCTCTCCTGGCAAAGCAAATACTGTTCCTAGAAACATTGTTTCTTCATCTTCCTTCACCTTGACTTAAGGAGTCTGTGTGTCTTTTTTTTTGGGGGGGGGGAGGGGAGGAAGAGAGTTGTTCAGACAGGATTTCTCTATATAGTCCTAGTTGTCCTAGAACTTACTTTGTAGACAAGGCTGGCCTCAAACACAGAAATCTGCCTGCCTCTGCCTCCCAAGTGTTGGGATCAAAGGTGTGTGTGCCACGCCCAGCTGAAACTTTTTTTATTGAGAAGTCTGTGACCTTTAAATACAATACAGAACTGGGGTGAGAGCTCAATCAGTAAAGTACTTGTGAGGATTTGAATTTGATACCCAAAAAAGGGCAAACATGATCCCACTGGAGAGATTTAGACTCACTGGTCAGCTGGCCTAGCCTAATTGGTGAGTTCCAGCTAGTAAGAGAAATTATATCAAAATAATAAATAGAAATGGGTGGATGCTGCCTGAAGTCTACCTCTGACCTTCATACACATGTACCCATGTACACACACACACACACACACACACAGATATAAAAATATCCACAGCAGCATAAGTAAATGAAATTTTAGAGAGACACTATCATATTTCCTTTTGCTCCAGACTCAGTCTTGTATTTCAATAAGCTAATGGTAAAAAACAAATATAATGTGTTCAGAATCCCATTAACTGGTATTTGTTGGTACAATTTGTTGGTACAATTCTATACAAGAATTAAGTATTTCCCAACAGGTCTTGAAAAAACAAAAACAAAAATTGATTACAAAAGCAGCTTAAGAAAGAGAGAAAAAGAAGTAAAAAGAAAAAGAAAAAAAAAAAGAAAACAACAACAACAAAACCCAGCTAGCAGCCAGGCAGTGGTGGTGCACTCCTTATTCCCAGCATTCAGGTGGCAGAGGCAGGGGGATCTCTGTCAGTCAGAGGGCAGCTTAATCTACAGAGCTAGTTACAGGACAGTCAGGGCTACGCAAAGAAACCCTGTCTCAAAAAACCAAAGTTTTTTTTTTTTAAGTTGGCATTGGGCAATACAGATGGAAGTATAGTCCTCTCTGACTGACAGCCAGTTTCAGGAGGTTGCTTAGGGTCAGGTAACCTGGAGATTTCTGTGTAGAAATCCAGCAAAGCCTCACTGTTTATAGCTGATGTAATGTGTGTGGTGGTGAGTACACTATTTAACATCGTTCAGGGTGGCGTGAACTTGAGAAAACCTTTCCACCGGTAGGAATAGCTCTATGATGACCTTGCAGAATACAATTTCAGTAAACCAGAAGCATGTGCGGCCAATATCACCTCAGATCAAATTTCAATGCTAAAAAGAAAGAACTTGCTAGGCTTACCAAAATGTATCTGTACTGTTACTACTCATAACTGGGGAGAAATATTGGGAATCTAGTTAAGCTGTCATTAAGTGCTATTTCCACAGATTAAGGCCTGGGTAATAAACTGGGAGTGGTGGCTCACCTTCTTTAAACCCGGCACTTGGGAGATAGAGTAAGGGCCACATTAAATCTCAAACCCTGGGGCAAATGGCTGAGGTGCCTATTTAACATATCAAAGGGGACCTGGAAGCTAGGTTCTCCTGGCATCTTGCAGTCCCTACCAGTTACAAGGTCCTCCAGGCTGCCTTACCCCTCCCTACCCATCCCCTATATAATGCAACCATTTTGGTTGCATGTCCCTTTTGTATCTTTGGCCTTCTGGTTGCTGAAGTTTGTCCCTTTCTTTCCCCTCTTCCATCTGGTCCTCTTCTCTCCACATGCCCCAGCTCAGTCTCAGTCTGGTCATGTCCACTCTGGACTCCTCCACCGAGGAGCAGTCATGTCCTCTCCTCTGTATTTCTTTTTTCACTCAGTCAATTGTTCAAAGCTAAGGAGATGGAGAGATGGCTTGAAGATTACAAGCGCTCGCCGCTCTGGCTTCCCAATACCATGCTGGGTAGTTCGCAACAGCCTGTATCTCCAGCTCAAGGAAGATCCAATAACTCTGGTGATCCAGGACACCTGCACACTTGTGCATACAAATGCATACACACGTACTCGCATTCCTGTAATTAAAAATAGAATAATCCGTGCTGGGTGAGCCAGTGCACTTCTTTAATCACAGCATTTGGGAGGCAGAGGCAGGCAGATCTAAAAAAAGAAATCTAGACGGAGAGTGAATGTACAAAGCCAACTGGGTGTGGTCTTTATGCTTTAATACCAGCCCTAGGGACTCTAGAAGAATCTTAGAAAAAAAAAAAGGTCAAGACTAGCTGGTGCGTAGTACTCAACGCCTGTAGTCATCCCAACATTTAAAAGGCTGAGGTAGGCGCATTCCTTTCAGTTCAGAACCAGACTGGTCTAAGTCTATGTTTTCAGGGCAGCCTGGACTAGAGTGGTACGCTTGTCTCAAAAGCAAGCAGAAAAGAAAGCTCACGGCTAGCCTCGAGACCCAACTTGTGCTACAGGAGACCTAGTTTGAAAACATCAAAACCCACTGAAAAAGTGAAAAGTGAAAAAGGTGGCGAAATGTTAAGTGTTTGTTTTACTCAAGAAGCATTTCGTTGTCTGTGGGGTAGAATCAGGACGGACAAGTGCACTTCTTGTAATATCGTGGCTGGGTCTTCACCTGAACTTGTGCCTACAGAACCCACAGCGTTACTGGGAAACTTTTCCCGGGTCCTGAGGACTCGCCCTCGTGAAAAGCCTAAAGCGCTTCACCTAAGCGCAATTGGACTTTCTGGTTCCCGAAGAAAGTCCTCCTTGTCCCTGGGTCACAGATGTCGCGTGTGCACCCCAATAGTAGCAGGTTCTTCCTCGAGGGCCGCTAGGGCGGGACCCTCATCAAACCACGCCCGCTGCACTCCTCTGGCTGCAGTCGCCCGCAGGGTTTAGGGATGCCCGTGAGTAGCCACGTCATTCACCAGGGTGCCCGCCCCCTATCCTGCCTCGCCCTCTACCCGCCACGCCCCTCACCCTGACTGGCACTCGCCCTGGTCCTTGGGCACCTGGCCTACGGAACCCTGAGCCTCTTGCTGTCTTGCTTTTATCACGCCCCGCCCACTGGCCCGCCTTTCACTTTGCGCGCCCCGCCTTTTGGAGGCCTCCGCCTCGGCACGCCCGCCCATCGGCCCGCCTCAGCCTATAAACGCCACGCCTATTTGACCACCCCGCCCATTGGCCCTCCTCGCCCCCTGCACGCCCCGCCCAGTAGCCGTCCTCGCCCTCTGCACGCCCCGCCCCCAGCTGCCTCGCCCTCTGCACGCCCCGCCCTCTGGGGCAGTTACCGGCTCAGGCCGCGCGCGCCTCCGCAGCTCGCCAGAGATCCGTCAGACTGGCTGGAGCGCCGCGTCGTCGCCCGCGCCCGCTGAGGGCTCGCGGCTCGGGCGCGCCCGGCGCGTGTGGCGAGCTCCGGCCGTGCGCTGCGACGAGGCCGGGCGGCGGGCGGTTAGCGCTCCGCTCGGCGGGCGGGGAGGACGGGCACGCCGGGCGCTGCACGCCTCGGCGGGCAGGTTCCGCGTCCCAGGACCGAAGCGGGTCGGTGCCCCCGTGTGGAGAGAGGGGCGGCCGGGCTCCCTGGACCCGGACGACCCCCGGCTGGGCAGGAGGCTGGGGCCAGGGGCCAGCCATGTCCGCTCGCACCCCGGTGCCCGCCGCTGCCCCCCGGGAGGACCCGCCCGCCGTGGCCGGAGACCGGGACGCGCTTTTGGCAGCGGCGAGCCGGCGGGCGGAGCAGCCGGCGCCCGGCGAGCGGGAGGGCAAGGAGGCGAGGGAGGAGCGGGCCGCGGCCGCCACCAGCGCGGGGGCGCGGGGAGAGCCGTCGCCGGCGCTCGTGCTGGGACACAGCGTGCCGCAAGCGGCCGTGCCCGTGAGGCCGCTGGCGCTGCACCTGGCGCACAAGGCGCGTGCGCCCGGGGGTCCCTTCGGCGGGGAGGCCCCGCCGCTGCCTCCGCCGCCGCCGCCGCCGCCGCCGCCGCCAGTACCGCGGAACCCACCGGAGGACGCCCGCGAGGACCCAGCGGCAGCCGGCCCCGAGGACAAGCCGCCGCCGCCGCCAAAGGGGAACCCGTGGACCAAGAAGCTGCCGCAGCACCTGTCCCCCGTGGGCACCGGCGTGCCGCCGCCCGCTCAGGACTCCCCGGAGGCGGGTGAGTGCGGTCCGCGGGAGGTGTTTGGTTCCTAGGTGTCATTCAGTGTGCCCATTTACATAAATGGACATCTGGGAGAGGGAGCGACAGGAAGAGGTGGGACCTCAGGTTCTCCTTGACGGGTAGGGGCACGACGTGGGTGACTGGGCAGCGTGGCTGAGCTGGGCTCGTGGCTTCACGTGTCGGCGTCCCGGACTCGGTGAATCCTGTGGGAAAGTTTCCGCGAACTTGCCACAGAGTGGAAGCGAGTCGGGACGAGCGGATTTGTGAGTAAGTGGAAGCGCGATTGGGCTCGCTCCAGAAGTAAAGTGGTGAAACGAAAGTCTCCGAAAGCTGCTAGGTAGATGTGGCTCTGAACGCAGCCGGTATTAGGTGTTTTTCGGTTGTGTGGTTGTGTTTCAGAATGCCTGAGACAGGACAGTTGATTCAGAGTCGAGTCGCCCAGCTGGTCCCACGGTAGCCTGCGCGTTAGAAATTGGGTTGTGCCATTGCGTTCGAATGCTGACCAATGCAATATGGCCCTTGGGGCTTCATTTGGGTTGCAGCAACTGCAGTTTAGAAAATAAAATTAAGACTGGCTTGTATTTGGTGGCGCATACCTATTGATAGAGAGGATTAGGCGTTCGAAGCCAGAGTGAGGTATTTATTTATTAAGTCTTTCAAAAAGAAAAAAAGTTAGAATGGAAATGCTGAGTGAAACTCTACATTTGTTTTTAAAATTAAACTGCACTAAAATAACTGGGCTTTTTCTGTGGAAATTGCGGCTATTTTGTTGGCAAGTTTTCTTTCGCTGGTCTGGGGAGAGTCGGTGGAACAGCCGAAGTTTGAGCATGTTTGTTTAAGGGGTTGTGAGGGTCAGACGCAGTGAAGGAATCGTGTACAATTGTGATTGTTGTATCTCTCCTGTAGGGGGAGATAAATGTTGAACTAATTTAGTTTTTTACCTTTTGCAAGCAGAAATGCTCATTAATTTATTTGTTTTTGTTATTTTGTTTGCTTTTTGAAACTTTACTTGTGTTGCCCAGACAGGTTTGGAATTCGTGATCCTCCTGTCACGGCCTCCTTCCAGTTGCTGGGATTATAGGCATTCTGCTCTCCTCATTAATTTTTAATCTAAATTTTGGCACTTTCAGGAGAAAAAACAAAAACACTGAATCTTGCTCTCCGACTTGTATGAGCATAATTCTTGTCAGCTGAAAAGAGCTGTTTGCTAACATTGCTAAATAACATGGCATACCAAGTCTGACTAAAATTTAGTAGAAAACGCTTTTGATCACTATTTACACATAGTATTAGCATTATAGTATTTATTGAACTACCAAATATTAACACAGTTTTTATAAACCCAGTTTTCTAGACTTTAAAACTTTTCAAAGTGAACTGGAGATTCTTCCCCTCCCTCCCTCCAATATGGGGATGAACCTAGGGCTTTGTGCTTGCTGGGCAAGTGCTTTATCATCGAGCTGTGTGTGCGGATTTTCTAACCCCCTCAAGAATTTTATTGCAGATTCCTTGGGAAAATATTTAACAGTTTAACCTACTTGTGCCTTGGCTCTCCAGTCTTCTTAGATTAAGGGTACAGTGACTTATTGGGTGTGGGGGCCATACCTGTAATTCCAGCAGGAGGATTATGAGCTTGAGGCCAGCCTGAATTACACTCAAGACCAGGTCTCAGAAAATCAGATGCCAGGCCTTTAATCCCAGCACTTTTGAGGGAGTGACAGTGGATCTCTGTGAATTCAAGGTCGGCCTGATCTACTTAGTGAGTTTGACAGCCAGGGCTATGTAGACAGACTTTTCTCAAAATGAAAAGGAGCTCCAGTTGTACCAATGTTTCTGTACTAACAACTCTTACATCCTGGTGTCACTTCACTATTAGGAATGCTTTTTTTCAGATTTGTGGCAGGGTGGCAATGCTGACTCTAAGCTGTTCGTCTACAGTGTCTAATGGGTAACTTAGAGAGTGTGGTGTAGGAATGCAGTGCTGAAAGAAATAGGTAATAGTGTAGTTGACTAGCTAGTTGACTTTTGGTAAGATTATTGGTGCTGTAAATTAATGACATGGATGGGTTCATGTCTTCTATTTGTCTTTTGTTTTGAAAAGGCATTTTTCTGAATTATAGAGGCTAGCAACAAACCCAGACCTCTCCCTCTTGGCCTTCCCAATAGCTGAGGTAATGGGTATGAAGGAGCCACTGCTCCCAAATCTTACAGTACTTAAAACAAGAGTGCTTTCTTTTCTTTTTCTTTTTTCTTTCTTTTTTTTTTTTTGGTTTTTTGAGACAGGATTTCTCTGTGTAGCCCTGGCTGTCCTGGAACTCACTCTGTAGACCAGGCTGGCCTTTAACACAGAAATCCGCCTGCCTCTGCCTCCCAAGTGCTGGGATTAAAGGCGTGTGCCACCACTGCTTGGCTACAGGAGTGCTTTCTACATGCAAGCTAGATGCCATGGCCTTCTTGTTCTCCTAAGAAAAATGAATAGGGTGAGCTAGAGCTTGCATAGATAGCTCAGTAGTTAAAACTGCTTATTGCTTTTGACAGAGCACCCACACCTGGCTCACCCAGTTCTAGAGGATCTATTGCCCGTTGGCCCCCGAGGGTGTTTGCACATGGGTGCACATATACAAACAATAAAAATAAGGAGTCTTCTGAAAGACGAAATTTTATTTTTTTTTATTTTTTTTAAAGATTTATTTATTTATTATATGTAAGTACACTGCAACTGTCTTCAGACACCCATATGAGGGCATCAGATCTCATTGTAGATGGTTGTGAGCCACCATGTGGTTGCTGGGATTTGAACTCATGACCTCTAGAAGAGTAGTCAGTGCTCTTAACCGCTGAGCCATCTCACCAGCCCAAAGACGAAATTTTAAAGAGAGGGCATAATAAGCTGTGCAGTGGCATATGCCTACAGTCCCAGCTACTCAGAAGTTGAGACTGGAGGGTCAACTACACCTACTGTTTGAGACTAGCCAAAGCAATATAGTGAGGCAGGGCCGCTGATGTGGCTCAGAGCTTAAGATATCCTTTTTGAGAGGATATGTGTAATTGCAGCTCCAGAGAAGCTCAGCACTCTCTTCTCACCTCCTTTGGCACTTGTAACTCACATGCATGTAGACACAGATAAGCACATAGTTAAAGTGAAATAAATATTTGAAAAATATAGGGCTGGAGAGATGGCTCAGCCGTTCGGTTCCCAGCACCCACAACTGTCTCTCCAGCCACCTTTTTTAGCCGGGCAGTGGTGGCGCACACCTTTAATCCCAGCACTTGGAAGGCAGAAGGAAGTGGATTTCTGAGTTCGAGGCCAGCCTGGTCTACAGAGTGAGTTCCAGGACTTCCAGGGCTACACAGAGAAACCCTGTCTCAAAAAACAAAAAGAAAAAAAAAGAGAGAATAATAGTAATGAAAAGCAATCTAATATGTCCAGAGATCATTTAGGATTCAACGAATGTAGATTGAGCTATATTAAATTATCAGTCAATTGATAGCATGCTTCTAGAGTTTATTTTACAAAATAGGATACTCTTGAGAGAAAGATGATTTTAATCCCAGCCAAACTATTACTCTTATTAATGAAGTGAAGGAATTACATCCACAACTTTTTGCCATGTTATTAGAGGTAGATGCATTATAGGAGGCATGGGGAGTCTTTTTTTAGGTTCCGATCACAGACTTTATTCATTACAATTTTTTGTTTAGTGAGTGTGTGTGCATGCATCATGGTGGTTAATGTAAAGATCAGAGAACAGCTTTGGGGCAGTTGTTCCTTTTCTTAAATCATGTGTGTTCTGGAGATCAAACTCAGGTCAGTCAGGCTTGGTAGTAAGCTCCTTTACCTTCTTAGCCATTCCAGCAGCCTAGCTTTCTCTAGACAAAAGTGAGACAGATTCTTGATGGCTCCCATGTTTTAGACACTCTCCACACTTGTAGGACGACTCTGGTGGTATATTGCTGTTTTGGGGAAACCAGATAAAACACTTCAGGCAAAGTCAAGCCCACTTAGGAATATCTTAGGATCAGTATTAAGACTTCTGACCTGAGATCTTCCCAAACCATCTTAAGCTTGTGTTAAGTAGTTGTAATTATTTAATAAGCCCTCATTAAATAACAGTCTGACTGGTTAATTACTTGCTTGTAGCTGTGATTTACAGTAAAAATCAGTCTTGTAGGAGTTACAGTTGGTGAGCTACCATGTGGGTGCTGGGAATTTAACCTGGGTTTTTGACAAAATGTGTCAGCCCCCAAGTAATATTTTTATTGGAGATTTTGGTTTCTTTTCCCATGGCTTTTCCTCCCCCCTTTGTCCTATACTCTCATTTTTATTTATTATTTCCTTTATTTTTTGAAATTATACTATAATTCATTTCCACCTTTTCTTCCTTCCAAATCCTCCTATATACTTCTCAATGTTCTTTCAACTTTATGGCCTCTTTTTTCATTTTTATTCTTATGTATGTATTCATATTCCTCCTATACACAGTACAACTTGCTCTGTATGTTACTTGTATGTATGCTTGCAGGGTTGACCATTTGTTATTGGATAATTATTTGTTTTTCCCTGGGAAAGACTATTTCTTCCTCTTTCAGTATAGCATGCCTTTGTAGTTTGTAACTCTTTGTGTAGTGAGGCTTAGTGTTTATTCCCCTGTCCACTTTGAAATGTCTATTACAGGAATTGTCCTTGTTTAGGTAGTCACATTGGTAAAACTTTATGGCTGTAGTTTCTGACATTACTATGAGACCTGATCTCACAGCAAACTTTTTGATCCTCTCATTCTTACTGTCTTCCTCCTCTTTTGCAATGTTCCCTGAACTACAGGTAGGTGAGTTGTATTGTAGTTATATCCAATAGGACTGGGCTCCCTAACTCTGTATTTTGGTTGATTGTCGTCTTAAAGAGAAGTTTCAGGTTTCCTAGATGAGAAGGGAAAAACTACACTTGGGTAAAGGACAAATATTTAGAATGTAGTTAGGAATTATGCTGGCCTAGTAAAATACTGGTTGTAGGTACTCCTGAGAGCTGTGATCTCACTAAACCAGGATAGTTGACTAAGTTTCCTGTACCAGACTGATTTCCCTATTTGTTGTTGAATGAATCTTAAGTCCAGTTAAATGTTGATTACTGCCAAGGTATATGTTTTATGGCATGATATGTTTTATTCATACATGTATGTGTGCACATACATATGCTATCTATTCCATGTATTTGTAGATTATTACAGGTACATCCCACGATGCTGTGTTACCATCTTTCTTTGATAAATCTTTTTTTTTTTTAAGTTATAGTTAGCTGGGCAGTGGTGCCGCCTGTCTTTAACCCTAATACTTAGGAGGCAGAGGCAGAGGCAGGCAGATCTGAGAGAGGAGATTCACGGGAGAGAGAACTCATGCTCCAAGACAGCCAGGGCAGAAACCCTATCTCCAAAAAATAAATACATAAATAAAATAAAGGTAATTTATTTGAGCCTCCCTATTGCCTTGTTGATAAGTGTTCTAGAGCCTTTGTAAATCAGTCTCTAGTTTTATGATGTGGGGGAAGCAGTTATGTGTGTGTACATGGGTGCAAGAGACAGAGAGAGACAGAGACAGAGACAGAGACAGAGACAGAGACAGAGACAGAGAGAGAGAGAGAGAGAGAGAGAGAGAGAGAAACACTAACTGACTTATTATAGCACATACTGATGGTAGACTCTCCCAGTCCCAGGCTGGTATGGCTAGTTGTGGTGGCTTACCCTGTAATCCCAAGACTAGGTAGGAAAGCAAAGAGAGGAGGATCACTGAAAGTTTTGAGACTAACTGGGCTGTATAACCAGTTCAAGTCAGCTGGGACTACACATCCAGGCCCTGCCTCAGAATGTGAATGAATGAGGGAGGGAGGGAATGGATAAATATAAAACACAACTGTAGCTTAAAAGCCTTGCTTAAAGACAGTTTTCTTTTTTTTCTTTTGTTTTTAATTATTTTATTGATTCTTTGTAAATTTCACATCATGTACGACAATCCCCATCCCTTTACAAAGATTTACAAAGGATCTAGAACATCTCTCCATCCTTGTCCACCCTTGCAACCTTCACCCCAAAATAAAATTTAAAAAAAAGACTCCCTCCAAAAAATCAACAAAGAACAAGTCTCTTTGTGGAAGCTATAGTATGTCACATTGTGTCACATAGCATAACCCTTTGTCTACACATTTTTACTTGCAAATGTTCACTGTAGTGAGTCAAGTTCAAGGCCTCGGGATTCTGCTACACTATCAATACTGAATCCTCAACAGAGCTATCCTGTTGTTGCCCTGTGTCATGGAGAGCCTTCAGCTTTGGATCTGCAAGACTGTGCTCCAGCAGTTCATAGATGGACTAGGTGTGGGTTGGGCCAGTTCAAAGCCCTGGATCTGGGCCTGGGTGGTAGCTGAGTTGGTCAGGTACCCAGCTCTTCCACACCCATACCACCAGGGCCAGCTCTCCAGCATTGCCTTGGTTAGCTCACTCAAGGTCACAACAGGCAAGGAGCAGGACCAGCTACCCTCCCACCCCCCACTTTCACACCCTTGGGGCTAGCTCATCCTCTTTCCCCCAGCACCAGGATCAACTCTGCTGTGCTGCCCATGTGAGGTAGTAGGGCCTGCTCTCCCACTGTTAGGACCTGGGGGCCAGTTTTCCCATTTGCCCCAGGTGGCAAGGGGGGAGGAGAGAGGCTAGCTCTCTCTGACTCACCCATGCCCCCACCAACAGGGCCAGCTCTGTTGTGGTACCCAGGGGAGGTGCAGGGCCCTCTCTCCCAAGTGCTGCAGCCAGTAAGGAATGGGGCCAGCTCTGCACAGCTTTTAGACATCAATATGGTCCCAGCCAGCAGCCCAGACTAGGGAATTCACAAGGACTTTGGTGGTAATATGACCCATGTACATTGACACAGTTCCCTGCTGCTGCATGGGCAGGGACATAGACATGGCCCTCGGCACAGGCCTGAACTTCTCACTATGGCCTCAGGTGGCAGGACCGGCTACTCACATCAGACTCCGAGTCTCCAGTTCTACCTCTCTTAGTGCTCAAACCATTCCACTTCTCTTTCTTTCCTGTTCTCCACCACATATATTGTAGTAGCTCCCACTGCAGGTTGGCCCTGTGGCTGGGCTATCTTCTGGTTTTTCCTTTTTTTTTTTTTTTTTTTTAATTTTTTTTTTTCAAGACCGGGTTTCTTTATGTAGCCTTGGCTGTTCTACACCTAGCTCTGTAGGGTAGGTTGGCCCTAAAGTCACAGAGATCCATCTGCCTCTGAGCTGCCACCTGGTTTAAAAGACAGTTGGGGTTTTGTTTGTTGGTGTGTGTGTGTGTGTGTGTGTGTGTGTGTTTTGATTTGGTTTGGTTTGGTTCTTTTATTTTTTGAGACAAGGTCTTTCTGTAAAGCCCTGGATGCCCTGGAATTTGCTGTCTAGACCAGGCTGGCCTCCAACTCAGATAATCTTCCTATCTCTGCCTCTGAACTGCTGGAGTTAAAGGCATTTTGATCTGCCACATGCATTCTTTAAAGCGAATGACAGGTGTGTGTATCAATGGTTGTCTGTGTTGCTTGTTTGGGGCACTGACCTTGTGTGTGTTGGATAAGCTGTCTACCTTCCACTGAACTACAGCACCAACCTACAAATTTCTACAGAGACCAGTTACTTTCTTTTGTGTGGCTGGGTTCTGGGTATCCTGGTTAGTTGTTGTTGTTTTATTTTTTATTATTTCAATTTATTTGCTCATTTAGTCAACTTGACTCGAACTAACATTATCCAAGAAGATAATTTTCTAATTATCTTAGAAACGACCCAGTAAGCAGCAGCCCTTCCATTGCCTCTGAATTAGCTCCGGCCTCTAGGTCCCCTTTGATGGACTCTTAACCTGGAGGTATAAGATTAATAAACAAGTGCTTTCCTCATCTTTTGGTGATGTAGTTTTGTTGTTGTTTATTCTTTTTTTGTTAGTTTGTTTGATTTGGTTTTTCGAGACAGGGTTTCTCTGTGTAGCCCTGGCTGTCCTGGAACTCACTCTGTAGACCAGGCTGGCCTCAAACTCAGAAATCTGCCTGCCGCTGCCTCCCAAGTGCTGGGATTAAAGGCGTGCGCCACCACCGCCCTGTTATTTATTCTTTTAAAAGACTTATTTACTGATCATGGGGTTCCCAATGGAGGAGTTAGAAGACTAAGGGAGCAGATAGGGTTTGTGGCCCCATGGGAAGAGTGACAATACCAACCAACCAGAGCTCCCAGGGTCTAAATCGCCAGCCTGGAAACATGCATGGAGGGACCTATGGCTCCAGCTGTCTATATAGGAGAGGATGGCCTTGTCGGGCCTAGGTGGGGGAGGAGGGCCTTGGTCCCATGAAGGCTGGATGCCCCAGTGTGGGGGAATTCGAGGGTAGGGAGTTGGGAGTGGGTGGGTGAGTGGGTGGGGGTACACTCTCATAGAAGCAGGAGGAGGGGAAATGGGATAGGGGGTTCCTAGGTGTGGGGAGGGAAATGGGGAAAGGAGATAACATATGAAATGTAAATAAAATATCCAATAAAAATATAAAAAATTTATTTAGTTTATATGTGTATATAAAGAGTGTTTTGCCTACATTTAAGTATGTGTATCGTGAGTGTCTAGTGTCCACAGAGGTCAGAAGAGGGTATTGAGTTTCTTGGAATTTTATTTATGGATGGTTGAGAGCTATAGAAACTGATTCTGAGCCGGGCGGTGCTGGCGCACGCCTTTAATCCCAGCACTTGGGAGGCAGAGGCAGGCGGATTTCTGAATTCGAGGACAGCCTGGTCTACAGAGTGAGTTCCAGGACAGCCAGGGCTACACAGAGAAACCCTGTCTCGAAAAACCAAAAAAAAAAAAAAAAAGAAAAGAAAAGAAACTGAATCTGGGTCCTCTGCAAGAAGAAAAATGCTTTTAACCCCTGAGCTATTTTTCTAGCCCCTGGCAATGGTGTTTTACAAGCAACAGAATCACTAACAGAGACACTGGGTATAATCTATTAAGGTCGCCAAACCTGTTTATTTCTTAGACGTAGTTTGAAGTCTTAATAACAAACACTATAAATGTTTTTTGGTGAATGTATTATGTAGAATAATTTATCTTATTACAAAGTGAGTTGAGGGCTGGGCTGTAGAATGTGCCTTCACATTCATATGACATGCCAAAATAAAAATGAGAGGTCAAGAAGGTGGGTAGAGTAGAATTTTACTTAAAGAAGTTACAGTTTTAGTTTACGTTGTATTTTATTAATAAAAGGACTGGTTTCTCAGTTTAGTGTAAATTAGTATTTTCCAACTCTTTTTTTGAGAAAGTTTTTCTATGTAGCCCCGGCTATCCTGGAACTCATTCTGTAGTCCAAGCTGGCCTTGAATTCAGAGATCCACTTGCCTTTATTTCCCAAGTGCTGGGAGTAAAGGTGTGTGCCACCTCTGCCCAGCTAGTATTTTCCACTTTTAAAATGTGGGTAACATTTAAATTTGCATATTACAGTTGATATCTTTCTAGGAATTTGAGAACCAGAAACTTAGATTTTGTTGGGAGTGGTAACTATGCTAACTTGCTAAAATTGAAATAATATTCATTTGCTAAGTTTATTAAATGAAATGTTTGTAAAATTCAATTTTTTATATTTTCTTTAGAGCTCAGTTCCCCCAAAATTATAAAAGCAGGAAAACTCAAGACAAAGAAATCCAACAAGGTATGCTTTTACAGGAATGGTTTTAAATGGTTTAGAAACAGTTCTGCTTGAAGTGTGATCTTAAGACCACTGAATTTTTACTTCAAAGTTGTTGAAAGTCTAAATATAAATAAGTATAGGTAATTTTAAAAATTACTATTGCTTTATTTGATTTTGTTATTTCTTTTTCCCCTGTGGTTGAGACAGTCTCACTACATAGCCTTGGCTGGCCTGGAACTGAAAGAGATCATCTGCCTCTGCCTCCTTGCTGGGATCAAAGGCGTGTACCCCACTATATCTAGCTTGTTGCTTTTGCTGAGACAGGATCTCATTGTAGCCCGGGTTAGCCTTTTTCATCCATGGTTGATACTGAATTCCTGTTCCTCTTATTTCTAAATGCTAAGAATGCTGGCATGTACCACCATGCTAGGCTACAAAAATTACTTTTAGTAATTCTTTTTTCTGTTTAAAAATTCTAAAAATCATTTTCAGTTGTAACACTTATTACTTTTTAGGCTAGTGACTTCAGTGATATGGCAAACTGGCCAACACCAGGTGAATTGGTTAACACTGGGGTAAGTGTTTTTTTTTTTTTTTTTTACTTCTGTTTTAAAGAGAAATTTTTTATTTCAGCATTATTGTGATGGATGGATGTAAAGATGTGGCACATCAGTAGGATTATTTTGACTTGTAATATCCTTTCCTACAAAGTAATGTTAGTAATGAATTTGGTGGCTTAACATTTATCCTAGAGTGCATTTTTATAATAATGACCACATAAGTTATAATAAATCAGTTTTATATTTTATATGACTATATCTCTTGATAAGATGGAACAAACTTGACAGCTATCCTTTTTATAGGTTTACCCAATTATAATACTTTTATTTACATTTCCATATCTAGCTGTATCCTTGGTAGTTGGGGTGACATGTTTACATATTCTGATTTCTTTTTTTCAAAAAGGAGTAAATTTTATTTTTTTAACTAAAGAAACTAAATTTTCTTAATGTGTTTAAGTATTTTGCCTGTATAGGCACCATGTGCATAATTGGTGCCTATGGAGGTCAGAAGGACTGGAATTGTAATTAATTGTAATTAAAGGTGGTTGTGAGAAACAGAGTGCTGGAAATGAACTCAGGTCCTTTGTAAGATGCTCTTAACTACTGAGCCATCTCTTCAGCCCCTAATCATTTTTTTTTTGTGGGGGAGTTTGTTTTTTATTTTTGAGACAGAGTCTCTCTATATAACTGTGGCTATCCTGGAAACTCACTCTGTAGACTAGGCTGCCTTCAAAAGCATTGTGATCTCCCTGCCTCTGCCAATAAAATGCCGGGATTAAAGGAGTATATCACCATACCTAGTCTTAATGTGATATAGGTTGTTGTCAGACTGTGCATGTAAACCCATTACCAGAACCAGGAAATGAGCTTGGCTCCTGTTTGCAAGTGTTGCAACCATCCCCGCCATCTAGCAAGTCCTGCTAAGCCTTCTGCTACTACAAACTATATTTTCTGTGTATGTGGAATAGTGTAGGAAGCACTGTTTCTGGCTTACTCTAGTACTATTATCTTAAGATTATGCTTTGTGTGTCAGTAATACATTTCAATTCAGTTTTAACACTGTCCATTCATTCACTTATCTGTGGACATTTGAGTTACTGTAAATGAAACTCTATTTAAAATTTTGCAGAGAAATTTCCTTTTTTTCCCCATAGCAGATGAGTAGGGAAAAGAGTGGCAAGATCATATACTAGCTATCAATTAGTTTTTTAAGAAACTGCCAAGCTTGCCCCACTGGTAGTATCTTAGAATTTCAGTTATTTCACAGTCTCAGTACTATTATTTTGGTCAGTTTTTTTTATTTAATGTCCATCGGTGTTCTTCCTGCTTGTATGTGTGTGAGGGTTTCAGATCTCTTGGAACAGGAGTTATATAGACAGTTGTGAGCTGCCATGTGGATACTGGGAATTGAACTCCTTCTTTTCGAAGACCATCCAGTGCTCTTACCCACCCATTGAGCCATCTCTCCAGCTCAAGTTGGTCAATTAAAACTATATCCATTGTGGTAAATAAATATGTGGTTAATTTGTACTTCTTTGACGAATGATAACAGCATATTCATGTGTCCGTGAAATTGGAGATCTAACCCCTTACCTTATGCATACTACTAGACAAGTGCCCTATTCCCCAGCTTTTTACTTTTGGTAAGTTATTTGCTTTTGGATTTTAAAGCAATATTTAGAATAGGTATATTGACTTTTTTAGTGAAATGCTAATAGAAATGATTCTATTCAGAATACTTTTTTTTTGGCAGTCTCAGAGTGTTATCAGCCAAGGAAATAAAAAGCCACAAATTAGAAAAGAAAAAGAAGAGAAGATTGAAAAAAGAAGCAACAGTGAGAGCAAAGAGAACCGGGAAGCAAAACTAGATGGTCCTATTGAGAATGTCAGTGAGGATGAGGCTCAATCAAGCAGCCAGCGGAAGAGAGGTGAGCTGGCCTGAGTCTTCATTGGAACTTGAAGTTTTGAAGGATGCATAGTGATGAGTTTGTATTAGTTACCTGTCTCTCTGTTGTCACATGTTGAACCTACTGCGGCAGTAACTGATTTGGCCTGTTGGTGGTCTTCTGGCCTGCCTCAGCCCCTTATTTTTGTATTAAACTCTATTCTGTATAAAAAAAAAGGAGTAAGATTCTTTATAGATTTTCTTGCAGATATATTCTTAGATTACAGTATTCTTTTAAATTTACATTGAAATTAATTACTGCATTTTTTGGGTTTTTTTTTGTTTTGTTTTGTTTTGTTTTGGCTTTTTGAGACAGGGTTTCTCTGTGTAGTCCTGGCTGTCCTGGAACTCACTGGGTAGACCAGGCTGACCTCGAACTCAGAAATCCGCCTGCCTCTGCCTCCCAAGTGCTGGGATTAAAGGCGTGCGCCACCACCTCCCGGCTCTGCATTTCTGAAAAAATGAAAAAACTGGTTTTCTAAGGGAAAAAGTGAAAAACAATTTAAGTCAGTGTCTTGAGGAGTTTTTGGTTTTATTTTTGTTGTAGCACAGAGTGGCCTGGAACTTACCTTTCTTGTCTCCTTAGTGCACATCTGACAATTTTTTTTTCAAGATTTTATTTTTAATTATGTGTGTGCATGTGTGTGTCATTGTATAGGTATATGCATGTGGGCACAGATACCCATGGAATTTAGAAGAGGGCGTTTAATCTCTGGAGTTGTAGGCAGTTTTGAGTTCCCCAACATGAGTTCTCGGAGTGGAACTAGGTCTTCTAGAATAGCATTTCATGTTCTTAGTCTCCAGCCCCAGTCTTAATCAAGGTTTTCCCTGAAAAGATTAAGTTATGAAGGAAAAATTTACTGCCCTAATTTGTTTTCCACCTTTTTTTCTGGACTCTTCATGTCTTCATGTGTTTATGGGCAAGCTTGGTGAAAGCCTATACTCATTCAGGGTTCTGAGTCTAAGATGAGCAGCAAGAGATATAGGCAATATTCAAGTAACTTAAAATGAAGAGTTTGATCTCCTTAGGAAGGCATTTACTCTTGCAGAGGTGAAATGACACACCAAGATATATTTGTAGCCCATAGCATTTAACTTCGTGGCTCTCAGGACCAGTTTATCATATCCTAAGCACATACAGCACATTCTTGAATCATTGTCTTTTAAAACTTGTATGTTTATTTGAAACAGGATGTTTCTATGCGGTCCTGGCTGTCTTGGAGCTCACTATGTAGACCAGGCTGGCCTCTCACAAAGATTGTCCTGCCTCTGCCTCCTGAATGCTGGGATTAAAGGGATAAAAGTTTGCACAGCCATGACTGGCTAAGTCTTTTATTAGTTAATAATTATTTTATTATTAATAATATTTTATTAAATAATCGTAGCTGCAAGAGTTAAGGACTAGGTTCCTTTGATCTACTAAGCAAAGTTTGATTTAGAACAGAATAAGTAACTGTTAAAAATTTTTCCCTGTAATAGTGCTCATGGCTGTCTAGAATTCATACATATGAAAGTCCTGTCATTTTGCTTTAAAATTTGTTTCTGTTGCTTTAGTTGAAATTGATTGGTCAATACTAAGTTAGGTGTTTTATATATAGCCAGATAAATTTAAGTAATAGTTAAGCCATGAATTGTGCACCTACTGCATGTGGGTTTTTTTCAATGAAGATGATAATGTTAACCTACATTCTTTTTTTTCCCCCTTGGTTTCTCAAGACGGTTTCTCTGTGTAGTCCTGACTGTCCTGGAACTCACTTTAGAACAGGCTAGCCACAAATTCAGAGATCCGTCTGCCTCTGCTTTCCAAGTGCTGGGATTAAAGGCTTGTACCCAGTGACAAATTTATATTCTTATATTTTATTGATGGGGCTGTGGCATGCACATACCATTCACTTGGGAAGCTGAGGCAAGAGAGAGTGCAGCTTTGAGGCCAGCTTGTATTATTTTTATTTTTTTTAAATGTTAATCAAAGGGTTTATAAGTTTGGTAATGCTCAATAAGATGCCCATACAATCAGAAGTGTAACCCAATACCTAGATGTATTCGAGAACGTCAGCCTCCATGTTCCCCTTCCCCCTTCTGTCTCTTTCTCTCTCTCTGAACCACCCACCACAACTGGTGTATTAGTTCCTTTCTCCTGATGCTGTGACAAAAGCCACTTATAAATAGACTAATTCATTTTTGATTATGGTAAAGATAAGTCTTTGATGGTGGGGGAGTTATAGTGGCAGGGTCTGGAGTTACTGGCTATATTTCATCCCCAGGCAGCAGAAAGCCACAAAGCTTTTGCTCTGCTCTTATGTTCTCTGGCCTATAAAATGGTGCTGGCTACTGTTAACTCTGGCCCACCTTAATTAACAGAATCTAAAAATATCTTATAGATAAGAGGCTCATTTCCTTGATGATTCCAAATACCTTCAAGTTGACAATTGAAATTAAACATCAGTAAGTGGACACCTTTAATCCCAGTAGTTGTAAGGCAGAGACAGATGGATTTTTGTGAGTTTGAGGATAGCCTGGTCTACAGATTCAGTTTCAGGACAACCAGAGCTACAGAGTGAGACCCAGTCATGGGGAAAAAAGAGAAAAAGAGAGAGAGAGAGAGAGAGAGAGAGAGAGAGAGAGAGAGAGAGAGAGAGAGAGAGGGAGAGAGGAAATTTATATAACCACTTTTTTTTATTAGATTTTTGATGTGTGTCCCAGGACAGAGTGGAACTTGAAATCCTCCTGCTTTAACCTCTCAGGAGCTAGAATTATAGGCATGAGCCATTTTGTTCAGCTTCTTTTGTCTTCAGTGTGTCTGTAATAGCGGTAATATAATGTCTGCAAAGAAAATTGTATCAAGGAGGAAACATGCTTATTCCTCACATGCTTTTGAGAAACTTATTAGTAGCAATACTAGACAAATGACTACTTCAGTGTTCTGAAGCCAAAGTCTCTGGATTTGTTTTTATGTATGATTTTTGTGTGGTTTATGTATTTGTGTGTCTGGTTTGTGTGTGCATGCATAAGTGTATGGAGGCCAGTTACTCTGAGTTTTCTTTCTTTCTTTCTTTCTTTCTTTCTTTCTTTCTTTCTTTCTTTCTTTTCTTTTTTTTTTTTTTTTTTTTTATTTTTTTTGGTTTTTCGAGACAAGGTTTCTCTGTGTAGCCCTGGCCGTCCTGGAACTCACTCTGTAGACCAGGCTGGCCTCGAACTCAGAAATCTGCCTGCCGCTGCCTCCCAAGTGCTGGGATTAAAGGCGTGTGCCACCAGCGCCTGGCTATTTCTTTTACTGAACCTGAAACCTGACCAGCAAGCCCCAGGGATTTTCCTGTCTCTCCCTCCCAAGCCCTGAGTGTTGGCGTCTTAGACCTGGCTTTTATGTGGGTGCTGTAGGTGAAACTTGGGGTCCATGTGCTTCACTAGCAAGTCCCAGCCCCTGGGATATTGGTTCTATTGATTTTTTTTTTTTTTAATTTACTGGCTTTTCACTTGGTAGTGAGAAATATTTGCACAAAACTAACCGAAGATTGGGCTAGAAGAATGAAAAGAATTCTTTTGGTATTCTGTAAATAACCCATTCAAAGGCAGACTGAACCTTTAATTAAAATTCAGAATGCTTTTAAAATTGCAGAGTCTTAATGTAAATTGTACATTATCATGAAATGATTTTGTTTTTTTTTTGTTTTTTTGTTTTTCAAGCTAATAAGCACAAATGGGTGCCACTCCACTTAGATGATGTGAGACCAGACAGCCAGGAAAGACCTGGGTCCCGGAACAGCTCTAGATGTCAACCTGAAGCAAATAAACCAGCACACAGTAATAGAAAAAGTGATACACGAAGTAAGTGTCATCCCAAGAGTGCCATGAATTCGAAGAAACATAGCTTTAGCACTTACCATTGGAACTGTATAGAGTAAACTGGACACATCTCTTTTTTTAATTCTACTTATCTTAAGAGGACATGTCTAAAGAGTAGTGTAATTATGGCACTAAACAACAAGGCTGAATGTTAACACAATGTAACTGTCTATAACCTTATTCCAGTATTGGTGTTTTTTATCTTTTTGGTTTTTTGAGACGGGAATTCCTTCTGTAGACCAGGCTGGCCTCCAAAAGTCAGAGAGACCAGCCTGCCTCTGCCTCCTGAGTGCTGGAATTCAAGATGTGTGCCACCATCTCTTAGCTTAATTTCATATCTTATTCTGAGATAGGACCTCACTGTCTAGTCAGGTACTTATGTATCTTGTTATCTTCCTGCCTCAGCCTCCCAAGTGCTAGGATTTCAGACAGGTGCTATCACTCTAGGCTTCTAGTCTTTCTTAAAGCTCTCTGTCTCCACATCTAGTCTGGCATTTCACATTGCCTTAGTTGGTTTTCTCCTTAATCTCCATCATTTTCTTAACAGTTCCTCTGCAGCTGTGTGGTGGTGGTGCATGCCTTTAATCCCAGCACTTGGGAGGCAGAGGCAGGCAGATTTCTGAGTTCGAGGCCAGCCTGGTCTACAGAGTGAGTTCCAGACTGCCAGGGCTATACAGAGAAACCCTGTCTTGGAAAAAAACAAAACAAAAAACAAAAAACAGTTTCTCTGCTTTGACTTCTTTGACATTGTTTTTATTTTATGATAATTGGATGATGATAGTGATGATTATGGTTTTTTAGACGGGGTCTCTCTGTGTAGCAATCTGTGACTCATTGTGTGATCTGACTGACTGACATTCAACTCAGAGATTGGCCTGCCTCTGCCTTCAGTTAAAATTTTGGAATTAAAGGTATGGACTGTTCCCTGCAAGATAATAAGGTTGTTTTAAACAGATATTCTTTACTTTGGGTTATGTTTTGGGTCATGTTTCTTTATGATTAATTTCTAATTATTAATTTCTAGTAGAAATACTTTTTTTCTATATAAACCAGAGATCTACCAGCCTCTTATTTCCTAAGTGCTGGGAATAAAAGTATGTGCCACAGTGCCTGACATCTAAATACTTTTTAAAAAATGACTTTTATGTATAAATAACATTAAACTTTTTATGAGTTTATTATGGTATGATGTAAAATAAGTCCTACTTTGGGTTAAGGAAGGACTATTTGGTTTAGCTATTTTAGATCTCACTGAATATTATTGCCTAGACTGGCCTTGAACTCAAAGTCCTCCTACCTTAACCTCCTAATAGCTAGGATTGTAGGTATGTAACCATTTTTAGCAAGAATATTTTAGAGGCTTGAGTGGTTAAGAATGTTTACCTCTCTTGAAGGTCAGTGTTAGGTTCCAGCACCTGCTTGACAGCCTACAACCACCCATACGTAACTATAGTTCCAAGGATCCAAGAGTCTCTTCTAACATCTGTGGGCTCTTCTTCACATGTGGTAGATAAAAGTCCATACATAAACCGACATATAAATTACAAAGAATTACAAAGTGGCTTAGAAGATGGCGTTATAGGGTCTAGGGCATTGGCTTTCAGTAGGAGAGAGAATGCTGTATGTCCTCACTGAAGAATGAATAGATGCTAGGGTGTTGTCTAATGGGTGGAAGTGATCGGTGATGTAAAGCATCTGAATAGCACATAGAGTAATTCCATCTCTTGTCTAACCAGCATCAAAAGGATGAGGTTGAAAAATCCTTGTTGCAGGCCATGGTGGCCCATGCCTTTAATCCCAGCACTCAGGAGGTATAGGCATGGGGATCTCTGAGTTTGAGAATAACCTCCTGTCTGCAGAGAGTTGTAGAATATTATAGATACAATTCCTCTAGTTCTTCGTCTGAATTTTTTTATGTGCTTTCAGTTTCTCTTTTATTTAAAAACATACCTTTTATTTGAATGGTAGTATTTCTTCCTTACATGTTTTATAGAAAGTGTATTTTTAGGGAAGTAGATACAATAGCTGTGGAGTGTTGTAAATATGTATATAACAGCATATTCTTAGTAGAGGACCTCTTTGTTTTTCTAGTGTGGCATTTACTTAATACAGAATGTTCTACAGAATGCTCAGAATCCTTATCCCCACCCACTTTTATCCCAAAGATATTGACAGTCCCCTTGGATTTCTTGGTGTTTAAATACAGCCTACTATCAACTAGGAGAAGGATATGGTAGCTTCTGCTTAGTAATCTCATCACTATGGCACTTTATGCAGGAATTTCTAAGAGTTTAATGCCAACCTGAGTTACCAAATCAGACACCTCAAAAAACCCCTAAGGGGAGCCAGGCCTGATGCTTATTAACCTGCCTTTAATCCCATCACTTGGGAGGCAGCCCCAGGCAGATCTCTGAATTCAATGCCAGCAGCCCCATTTACATAGTGATACTTTGTCTGGAAAAAAAAAAAAAAAGAAAGAAATCCAAGAGAGTGGGTAGTGGGTGACTATAATCAAAATACATTGTATAAACATGAATTTATCGAAGAATAAATAAAAGGTACTTTTAAAATCCAAAGAGAAAAAAGATGGGAAAGAAAGTAGTAACTATATTTTCATAGAGATTATTTTATTATTTTACTGTAAATTTGAATGTTTTTATTTGAAGGTTGGAGACGGGATAGAGAAAAGAGAGATGATCAAGATGAAGTATCCAGTGTGAGAAGTGAAGGTGGCACCATCCGAGGTTCCACTAGAGGCCGGGGAAGAGGCCGGGGCCGAGGAAGAGGCCGAGGTCGAGGAAACTCTAGATGTATGATATGAGGTTTTTTCCCTCCGTGTACGAGCTTTGAAAAAAAATTAGCAAATAGTCTTGTTGGTTTCTTTAACTCTATTTTGTTAATTTTTTTTTTTTTTTTACATTTTTATTTGTATGTGTGTGGTTTAGGTCAGGGTGCCATGGTGTATATGTGGAAAAATCTGAGGACAAACTGCAGGAGTTGGTTCTCTCTGCCATGAGTGACTTGGAGGTTATATACAGAGTATTAGCTTGGTGACATGGGCCTTTCCCTGCTGAGCTATCTCAGTGGTCCTCTGGCTTGATGGGTCAGCTAATCATTTTAGTTTGACAGTAAAATCAGTTTTGTGTTTGAAGTCTTCATTTTGGATTTCTTCTCTTTATGTTTACTGCTTTTTTTTTTTTTTAATTTGTGATCACCTTTCTTTTACTTTGTATCCAGTGAACTCTGATTATCCATATGGTTATCGAGAGCCAGGGGAAAGGACTGAGCAGCCATTTCCTACAGAGCTTAACACCAGCATGATGTATTACTATGATGATGGAACAGGTGTACAGGTATATCCTGTGGAAGAAACACTGCTTAAAGAGTACATTAAGCGCCAAATGTAAGTACATGTCAGACAAACACAGGGCACTGAAGTCTGTTTCTGTAGCAAACTTATATATATCTGACTATTATCACATTTTCAAAGCTGCAATAGTAAAATTACAGAATAGGAATATTTTTTTTTCTAGGCAAAATAGGTATCTACAAATTTTTCTCTTTGTTCATATTCCTGTAATTTTCTAAAGAGTAGTTAAAATGTCATTGCATAATGAGTAAGTATGAAAAAAATAAGACAAACTTCTATATATTATTTAAAATAAGTAAAATGTGTCTCATTTGCAAATAGATATTTATATTAAAATTTATAAATGAGTAGGGTGTGGTGGTACATGCCTGTAATTCCAGCACTAGGTTGTCTGAGGCAGCATTACTATGAGTTCAAAGGTAGCCTGAGACACATTGCAAAACCATATGAAAAAAAAGCAAATCAAATATGAAAAAAATAATAAAAACACTTGTAAATTATTAAAATAGTGTCTGATATTTCAAAAATTTTAAATAGCAAATGATTGCTGCATTATCTGCTTTTTTTTTTTTTTTTATCTTTTAAGCTCTGAATTCTTCATGACCTCTATTAAAAGGCAATTCTTTTTAAGTCAGACCTTAGTCCTCTGTCAGAACTCTGCTTATTCCAAATCTATGTTTTGCATGGCATTTTTATAACATGGAAACTATTAAAAAATACAAAACAAATAAACAACAACAAAAAAAACCCCAACCTTTCCTAAGTAACTTGTGTAACCAAATGAGTAAAATCTTAATTACTTCTTTACCTTACATGATAAAGGAAAATGGTCCTTTTTTTGAAAAGGCATAAGCATTTTTAAAACACATACTTTTATTAAAAAAAAAAAAAAGAGTTTGTACTCTCCCTCCTCTAACTAGGAATTACCTTTTCATTAGTGTCAGACAGGCACCTTTGGTTGCCTTAGTAGTAGATGCAGAGCAACTTGGCTTATTCTCTTTCTTCTTCTTTTGTTATGGCTGACACAAAACTAAGAAAAGGGCCTGTATGGCCAGAAAGTTCCTGTCAACTTCATACCATTATTCCTGTCTTCTTTGTAACTCTGAACTGCTAGGTCCCTTCTGAGACCTGACGGGGAATATGCAACTCCTTGTCAGGATAATCCGGCCTCCACTGTGCTGAATGAGGGAGGAGCAGAGCTGCTTCCTTGTTGACAGTTTTTGGTCATGCAGTGTGTAGAATACAGAGCTGCTAAGGTAGGACATGTATGTCCCCTAGGACACTGAGCAAAATGTCAGACATTGGTCATGACTCCTTTTTTGTTGTTTCAGTGGCAGGGTTTTTGGCAAACATCCGTGGAATGTCTCTTAGAGATACTAGAGATGTGAGTTCACACTTTGCTCAATGGAGCTGTTAGGCTGTTTCTAGTCTAGTGCTTAGTTAGAGAAGTGATGGATTAGGGTTTGCATTTGTGGTTTTGTCTTTTTTAAAAAGTTTTTATTGTACTTTGGTGCCAAATATTATTTTACTATTACTACATTCTAACCAACTGAGATAACTAGGGAGATGAAAATATAAAGTTCCTTTACTATTTATTCCTAATGGTTAGTCTTAGTCACTTTAAATGAAAATATTATAACAATTTTTTGATGTAAAAATATTTAAATTTTAAGTTTTTATTTTTATTTATTTTTCCTTTTGAGATAGGCACTCATGGAGTGCCTGAAACTTCTGGTCCCTGCTGCTTCAACTTTTCAAGTACTCACTCACTACTCTGTCACACACTGGGCTAAATTTTAACACTGTGATTATTTCTTTTTGGAATAATCTCTTGTCATTCAGATTTAAGATTAGTATGTTTGTAACCCAACATAGACTTTAGCTAATAGTGATTTGTGGATTTACTTACAGAGCTTGATTTTCACAATGGATTTAAAGGGAAGCTTACTACTGATTTAGGAATCTGTATTTAAGTACAGTTTTAATTTATGACTACATCAAATATCTAGTGTAATGTCCCAGATTTTGTAATCTCAGACAAAATTCTGAGGCACTGGGATTAGAATCAGAATGTACAACTTTGATTTATTAGTGTTGCCGAGATGTCAGTAAATAAGCTCTATGAGAACTTTGTACTTTGACTGATAGATACCAGCTTTAGCTCTTATGCTTTTAAAGTAGGGTAATTTTCCCCTCTCCAACAAGTGAAATGTTACCCCAAATCAGTTAATATTTAGACGTGCTTAGGTTAGAATTTTTCATAAGTAGTTCAAGGTTACGAAGTAATGGAGATGTATACCTCCATTACTTCGTATGGAGTAATGGAGTGTGAAGTTGTGTGCTCTCTCCTAACTTGTTGCCTCCCGAGAACTTTCTCTGGGTCTGGGAAGCTGTAGGATTGCCTGTTACAATGTCACCATGGTTTCTCTTTTTTTCTCATCTGGGATGCTGATCTTTGTCTTTAGATTTTTATTTTTATTTTATTATATAGATACTTTAAATGTATGTTTTCCAAGTTCTTTCATACTTTTTCTTCGGGGTCTTTTATGACTTAAGTGTATAGTCTTTGGTCGGACTGATAGTTGTCTGTTTACAATCTGTCTGGGGAAAGATTAAGTTGGTCTGTGCTTAATAACTCTAACCCTGAGTTGTCTAAGCATTGTCTGTATCCTTTCACTCCATGGACTTAATGGAGTCAGTGATATTTCTTTCTTAGCCATATTATATTCATTCTTCCCTTTGTTTAGAAATGCTGAGAATCTAAGCCTGGGTTTCTACAAGCTACGCATGGTTGTGTTACTATGTTGGCATGTTTTTTACTTACTTGTGTGTTGGTTGCTAGGGGTCCTAACATACAATGTTAGTATGTTGTTAGTTTGCGAGCAGGGGAGACCAAAGTACCTTATGTTTGAGTATGAATCAACAAAAGACACTCAAAACAAAAGTTCACTGTTCTTCCTGGTGTTTGGGAGGCAGTAAACTGATACATTAGCTTTGTTATTATTTAGTGTTTAAATGAAGCAGATGGAGTAGCTTTGTAATGGAATCTTTCAGTGAGTGACTCATTGAAAAATTCAGGGCTGTAGAATTTTCACTTACCCAGCAAGTATATGGCTGGATTCTGAACAATATAAACAAAAGAATTTTAAATTATATTTTAATTTGTTATACTTAAGTTTAGTTAACTATTAGCATTAATCTTTAATAAGTTTCTGCTTGTGTGTAAAAAATTATCAATTGAGCATGGTTTTGCTTGGTTTCATGTTTGCTGCATGCTATGTTATAGTCTATGTATATTTTACCTAACTTGTAATATAGTAGTATTATTAGCCAGAAGAGAATAATTTGATAATAGTTGTTGTAAGCAGTGGGTATACATCTGTGTTGCTGAATGAGTGGATGAACTCATGCCCTCTTTTTTTAGTGAGTATTACTTCAGCATAGAGAACTTGGAAAGGGACTTCTTTCTTCGAAGAAAGATGGATGAGCAGGGATTCCTGCCCATTTCCCTGATTGCTGGTTTTCACCGTGTGCAAGCTCTCACCACGAACCTTAATCTTATCTTGGAGGTAAATATTCATTTAAAAAATAATGAAAAGTTTGTAATGGTAAATTAAAACAGCAACACACAATCTGGCTTGTTCTTATGTGGCTACCATGTTCCAGACTAGAAAAGGCCAGCATGGGGGATGGCTCTGACAATACCAGACATCCACGTGGTACCTGGTATAAATGAGATTCTAAAGCTTAATATTAGCCAAAGGCTTTATCTAATTGGAAATGCTCAATTAACAAGATGCCCATACAATTAGAGTTGCTACCCAATATTTAACATTTTTATAAGTTGCTACCTTAGACTGCTAGAGATACTCTGACATTTGCCGCCATCTTCTTCCTCTCCCCAGTTCCTCTCCTAGCTCCTCTTCTTCTTTCTCCCTCCTTTCTTCCCTCCTCCCACATCAGCTCCTCCCATAGGATGTAGCAGCAGCAGGAAGCCAGCCTGCTACATTCTTCCCTTCCTCCCTCCTTCTTCTGACTCCGGAGTTTCTCTTTGTAGTCCTGGCTTTCCTGGACCTATGTAAGCCTTGAGCTGACAGACATCCTCCTGCCTCCACCTCCCTGGGTGATGGGATTAAAGGTGTGTACCATCATCACCATCAGTTTTTTGTTGTTTGAAGAGTTTTTAAGATTTAAGATGCTTGAATTTTTTGTATAAAGTTGTTCCTTTTAGAATTTTGTCTGCTTGTTTCTTTGACACAGGATAGTAATCCTCTAATCCTCCTACCTTACCCTCCTTATTGTTGAGGTTATAGGCATGTGCCATCATGTCTGGCTGTTGGTATCCTCTAATTTTTTTTAGAAGGCATGAATAATGAATAACTATTTTCTTTTGATTTCCACCCGTTCTCTCACTAAAAACAGAATTGTTTTAATTTTTAAAAAAATTTTGACATCAGTGGGTTCGCTAACCACCTCAGTGCTTAATATTCTTGAATGAAAGGCACACAGCCTTTATATTTTGATATGCCTTAATCACCACAATAGCTGGGCTACTGCCTAACCTCCACTACTGATAGACTCTACCTCCCTCTGATAATTCCGAGTTACAGCTTACTAAATTCTGTGTTCTATCTTGGCTGCTCTGGACCCATAGGACTGCCCAACTGGGCTGTGTTCTTCTGGCTCCTTCACATCTATTTCTTCTGCACTGTCTTGGCATGGAGGATTTCCCTTTTTCTCCCCTTTAAGTCCCAAGCCCAATCTTAAAAGTCCTGCCTCTGTCTGCCCTCCTTAGCCATTGACTGCCTGCATCTTTATTTACCAGTCAGAACCAACTGGGGGTAGGTTCTCAGAAGCTACATGCAGACACTGGTGTAGGCAGTTTGGGGGACCCAAATTAACATTAGACTACAAGCAGCATTAGGCCAAACCACTACACAGAATGCAAAGTCCATGCACCACTAAGTGATTCCATAGGTTGTTTTCTATATAGAAATAAATCCCACAGGATCTGAAACACAGTTTTTATTTACCTCACCTTTGGCCAATAAGTCAGTTGTTTCCTTGTTAGTATTCAGTGTGATTTCTTTTTTTATATATTTCTCTTGAGATAGGGCCCTGCATAGCACAGATAACCTTTAATTCTTGATCTTTTTACCCCTACCACCTGAGTGAAAGCTGTCTTACAGGCACACATCACCATACCTGGGTTTTTTAGGGGTACTTGTGATCAAACCCAGGACATTAATCATGTCAGGGAAGAACTTTAGGACATGAGCTGTAGCTTCAGCTTGTTCATTTACTTTTTTTTTTTTTTTACAGTGGGAGTTGGGGAGTACAGGGCTTCATGTAGAGCAGCCTATCCTCAAGCTCACTATGTACCCTAGCATGACTTAGAACTTTGCTTACCTCCATTTATCTCCTACCCCCATTTCCTGAGTTCTGTTTCTGGTTTTGTTTTTTTGAGACAGAGTCTTACTATATATTATTAACTCTGGCTGGCCCAGGGCTTTCTGTGTAGACCAAGCTGGCCTCAAACTTGGCACAAGCCTCTGATCACTGAAATTACAGACATGGGCCAGTATGCCTAAAAAAAAAATTGTTCTGTTGCTAACAGTAAGTCACAGTTTATCTTAGACACATTAACTATATTATTATAATCTACTAACTTGAAATTTTTAGATTAGAAATAATAAGGCATACAACTAAGACCTCTTGAATGTAACTTTAATGCTTAAAATTTTTATTGCCAGGCACTTAAGGATAGCACCGAAGTAGAAATTGTGGATGAGAAAATGAGGAAAAAGATAGAACCAGAAAAATGGCCAATTCCAGGTCCTCCTCCACGAAATGTGCCACAAACAGACTTCTCTCAGTTGATTGATTGTCCGGAGTTCATACCTGGCCAGGCCTTTGGCTCCCATACAGGTAACTGCTTTTTGTCTAGTGCAAACAGTGTAACAGTGGGCTGCTTGTGAGGTTTCCTATTTATCTGAAGTTTATTGAGCTTTCAGAGCAAAACTAAAGCTAATTAATTGACTCTTGGTCCTCCATATCCTACTTATGTTATCTCTCAGCTAGAGTATAATTATGCAGAATCATAGTGTTTCTTGATCTTAGATATTTTTGTGTGTTGTCTTGTGTGGACTTTCTTCCTATCTTTTTTTTTTTTTTAATTCTACTAAATGACTGTATATCACACCACTTCTCTTCATCTAAAACTGAAAGAGCCAAAATTTGTACTCAAGGTGGGCTGGCCTTCCTTTATTTTTGTTACCAATGTCCTTTAACCTTGTCTTCAAAATACAAGATAACCCATATTCTAAAATAGTATTGGGACTTTCTCTAACTTGGTTCTTTTGAGATTCCAAAAACTGCATTAGTGTTAAGAATTTTTTTTGCCTGGTTCATTTGAAAGATAATTACTCTTGGGAAAAATATGTGTGCTTAACCTTTTTTCAGTCAGGGTGATGATCTACTGATGCTCTTGGATGTCATATGACCGGAATATACAGTGGAGTAGGTGACTCCCTGAAATACCATGTAAATATGAGAGCAAATCGTGCTGCAGAAGTGAGAGTGACCATACTGTCTTCTGTGCAAGAATGTCTACGCCCACCCCCTTGTGGAGAAGGTTGGGCCAGCCTGCATTGGAGAAAACCACCTTTACCATAATGATGTGAGACAGACCAGAGGACTGCTGTTACTGTAGGAGCTTCTCCTTTCTATGTCATTAGCTTAGGCTGCACGGGCTACTTCATGGTGGGAAAGTTAATTGTTATCATTGGGGAAATACTGCAAATTCTATCTTTTGTTTCCAGGCATTTATACTTTGCCCAGATCAATAAAGCAGAAAAAGAGAGGATTGAGTAGCATTTCCAAAATTGTTAGGTCCTTTGCTATTTGACTTGCTCTTTAATATAGTATACTTTGCATAACTCACATGTTGTCATATTTCACATGTACTATAAGATGTATTAATGTGAATACTTAAGGGGTAAGACATTTAAGTTAAATAAATAAGGGCATTTTTCCTTTATGCTTCAAAATTGTTTTTAAGGGCTTTTCTTTTTTATTGTTTTATTTATTATTGTGTACATATGATATGTGTGTTTTTTGAGTGGGCATATGTGTGCCGTGGTGTGTATGTGTGGAGGTAAGAGGACAGCTTTACAGAGTTGGTTCTTTATTTCCACTGTGGGACTCAGGTATTAAACTCAGGTGGTTAGATTTGCCCAGCAAGTGCCCTTACCTTCTGAGCCATATTGGTGGCTTCAAAATTGTATTTTATACATTGGCATGAAAGCACTGCCTGCCTATCTATGTTCCTCAAGAACTGTAAACCAGAATAAATCCCTCTTGTCAAGAATTTGAGCACAGCAATGAAAACAATAACTAATAAAGAAAGTTAGTACCAAGAAGAGGAAGTGTTGCTGTGATAACCTCAACATGTGTATAGGCTTTGGAACTGGTCTTCAGAAGGAATGTGAAAGCCTTGGAAGCAGAGCTCAGTGGGTCATTCTGAGTGGTTTATGGGAGACCAGCATGCCAATGAAAAGCTAGAGAGTGAACATTGTGCTCAGGAAAGGGGCAAGTACATTTTGAAGAGTTGAGCTAAAGGCTATTTGCATTTTCTTCTGATGGAGAATATGGGTGTATTCTGCCTATTCCTGAAAATATAAGTCATAGAGTGATTTGCAGTTTCTTTGGCAGTGGCAGTTTTAAGACAGAATTATGTTTAGGCTGAGGCATGCTTACTACAGATAAGTAGCAGGAGAAAGCAGAAAGATTGGAAAATGTGCAGTTTGGGGAAGAAAGGAGTGAACCAGCAGAGTGTACACAGCTTTTTATAATTAAGGAAATTAGTGCCATTGTTTACTAAGGCAGAGCAGGTGCCCTGAGGGTAAAACCTATGGAAGTCTCCAACTAGTGAAAATAGAAGAAGTTGATTTGAAAGAAGAGAAACTAAACTGAGACTGTGGCTGATGGGGTTTCTGCTATGTAAGCAGACTTCTGTGATTTGGAAGCCTAAGTGTGTTGAAAGGCTAGTTATAGCTTTAAGCTACTTACAGATAGTAGGGGTCATACAGCAAGGCAGTAGAACTTGGATGCTTCATGGCATGTAAAGTGCAAGTCATTGTGTGGCAAAGGACATTCTGAAACACCATTGTTTGAAGCTCTGTAAGGTCAAGTTGCAAAGTAGAGTCCCAGGCTGTTGGAAGTTCCTGAATTGTGGAATTCCTGCCAAGGAAAACTGGAGTAGAATCATCCCACCAGAGAGGTTATATATATACTACAGGTGACAAAATTGGAGGGGTGGAGCTGTCCCTGGTCGTTGGATCCCAGATGATAGTATAGTACCACAAGCCCCAGATGCTGATCATGATACAGTGTTTTCCCTGCTAGGTGTTGCTTTGATCCAATTTTCCCTTGCTATATCCCATTCCTCTCTGTTGGAATGGAAATGTTTACTCTATGCCTTTGTACATTGGAAGTATGTAACTTGTTTTCTGAAATTATAGAAACTCACGGTTAAGACCTTGCCTTGCATCTCAGAGCCTTTGGGCTTTTGAACAATGTTGGGACAATTAAAGACTATGGTGACTTTTGAAGTCAGTCTGAATTTATTTGTTTTATGAGCCTATGGGAGTCAGAGATGAAATGTAATGGTTTGAAAGTGATTTGTCTGAAAGTCAAGTTGACAAGGAAATTTACTTATGATAATCTTCATTGTCAACTTGACTAGTTAGTCTGTGGGGGCATTTCCAGAGAGGTTTAACTGAAGAGGGAAGACTCATCCTAAGCATGGGCTGGGTGCTTGCCCTGAGTACCAGCATTCATCTCTCTGTGCTTCCTGACTGCAGACACAGTGTGACCAGCCACCTCATGTTCCTATCACCATGCCTTCCCTGCCATCATGGACTCTGCCTCTCAAACTGTGAGCCAAAATAAATCCTTCCCTTAAGTTGCTTGTCAAGTGTTTTGTTGCAGTGACATAAAAGATAGCTAATATATTGCCAATCAGTAAACGATGATGGATAATTTTAGTTATTTCTGTTTAGGACCAAAATATTTCCTTTGGTTTTATTCCTTTTAAACTCCATATGTCTTTATTATAAAGGTGTTTAAATTATAATTGCAAACCATACATAGAATTTGTTACTCTTTAAGTCACAAAGAACTAGTTTCTGTACTAGTTTTTTGTGACTCTTTAAATTACAAAGAACTAGTTTCAGATATTTTGTGCTCCATAGTTTCTATCTTTCCACAGATATTCTCTACCCATAATTTTGTCTCTCTTCAATAACTAGAGTATATTTTTAAAGATAAGTGAAATTTAGGTTTCTATTCCTAGAATAGAAACTTTCAACCAGCTTATGAACAACTAGTTGGGAATGTTGGATAGGCTGTAAACTTGGGATTCAAGGTGATATTTTAACCAGCTCATGAACAAATAATTTGAAATGTTTGGTAATATGGAAATATTTTTTCTACAAGATACTAACATAGGTCAGTCAAGTTGGAGATGCCTTTCCATTAACAATATATGTATTATTAATAAAACTTCCAGAATAAAAAGTTTTGTACATTTTACCTCTACCTATGTTCAGATGCATACAAATAAGTCAGTATAAATAAATGTTACATTAATGTCAGATTCTTTATATTGTAAAGGAGCGAGCAGAAGTTGAATGTATGGGATGCTGAAAGAGTCATGCTGATACGTTAGCTCATAGGAGTAAACCTGCCCTCCATTTACTATAAATCTTCACACATGACCTTGTTAGTCTACTTGTAGATTGCTTGGAGAAATAGTGTGTCACTGTACACTGGAGAAGAAATAAGGTAGGACTATAGACAGTCTTCTTCTATACCTATCGGTGGAGATGAGAAGTGAAGCTTTTATCTAATACCCTTTAATAGTAAATTAGAGTATCTTAAGTTTTGATTATGTCTTCTGTGCCATTTGTATGTTAAAATATTTTAACATAATTGATCCTTTTTATCACAGAAATTTAAATATCTACTTTTTCCTCTTTGGAGGTTGAATTGTGTAACATGGGTTGGCATTGACACTGAGCAGAAGATCTTAATCAGCACAAAAGGTTGATTTTGAGACTGGTAAGATGACTTCTGGAATGCAGGGTTTGCTGTGTGGATGTGGTGTACTATCAGCTCATGTATGCTATGTGAGAGGAAATGGTTCCTGAATTGGCTGTGGGACGGACTTCTTTGAAAGCTGTATGTAGAGGTTCTTAAAGAAATCTTCATTACTCAGAACTCTAGTCACCCCACAGTGAGGGGAAAAGCTACCCCAGATCTAAGTATACATTTTTCTTTGGAGAGCCAGGCTGATATTTTTCATTTAGTATGAAGTCAGCAAAGGTAAATTGTCTATATTCTCACAAATTATACCCAAGGTGTTATATTGCCAAATAATTTTTATCTATGTAAATTAAAACTCTAAATCTTAAACTTTTTTTGTTTTTCGAGACAGGGTTTCTCTGTGTAGTTCTGGCTGTCCTAGAACTCACTCTGTAGACCAGGCTGGCCTCAAACTCAGAAATCCTCCTGCCTCTGCCTCCCAAGTGCTGGGATTAAAGGTGTGCGCCACCACTGCCTGGCAATCTTAAACTTTTGATTTTAGGTTATTAAAAATATTTTAGTTATAAGTGAAATTAGGAATCCAGAAAACATGACAAGGTGTATATATATATAAGTTTAAGCATAAAGTGAACAGCTTCAAAGTTTCATCCTAATGTTATTAATTTTTCTTTCTTCCAAATATTCCATTTCTAAACATGCAAATTCTTAGGATAATAAAACAACTATAATTTTGTAACTGTAAACCTGTAATTCAAGCTTAGAAGACCTTGAGAGATGATTATATATGACTGTTAGGTGAGTATAAGATAAGGAAAGCTAAACTTGTGCAGTAAAACCGTAAATACGGGGGCTGGAGAAGGTAGTTTTAGAGCATTTGCTGCCTTCCAGAAGACTCATGTAGGGCAGCAGTTTATAACTCCAGCACCCTGTTCTGACCTCCTCAGGCACCCAAGCACATGTGGCACCAACCCCTTAAATAAAAACAAACATAATGAAAAACCTACAGTTTTGATTTTCCCACTATTGTTCCAGTTGCTCTTCTGACTTTTAGATCCTATCGTGTAGTAATTCTGTTTAATGAGAGTTATATAAGGAACTAAGTCACCCTGTCCCAACAGTTAACGAAATAGTGGTTCTTTGGTCATTGTATAAATATTTGAGCACTAAGAAAACAGGAGTTGTTCTGTCCTATATTCTTCTTTATCAGTGTGGAAAAGTATAATTCCTTGTCTCATGTGTATAGATTGGTTTTATGAGTTTTACAAATACCTTGTTGATGAATGTACTGTTTATGGAGCATTACTGTCCCAGGAGGGATTTGTGAACCCTACATATAATAAGTTTGTAGAAGCCTTAAATAAACTACAAAAGATTTGGGAGGTGTAGTAATTTACACTTTTGAACCTAGCTCCAGGAGGTAGAGTAAGAAGATCTTTGTTTTTGTTTTGTTTTGTTTTGTTTTGTTTTGTTTTTTTCGAGACAGGGTTTCTCTGTGTAGTCCTGGCTGTCCTGGAACTCACTCTGTAGAGCAGGCTGGCCTCGAACTCAGAAATCTGCCTGCCTCTGCCTCCCAAGTTCTGGGATTAAAGGCGTGCACCACCACGGCTGGCTGAGTAAGAAGATCTTTTGTGATTTCCAGGCCAGCCTGGTCTACCTATCAAGTGCTAGGCCTGTAGGACTGCAGAGTAAGACTAAAAAACAAACAGCAACTAAACAAAAACATTTAGTTTTAGTAATATTTTCTTAGACACTTTGATTTAACATGGCTATATTATTACAACATGCATAATGTAAATCTTTGCTCATTTGGAACAGAAGGTACCAGTTTTGTTTTTTTGTTTTTTTGGTTTTCTTTTGTTTTGTTTTGTTTTTAGTGGCACTTTACAATTGTCTTGAACATATTTCAAAACTGGCTTCACTTCAAGTTCTTCACTGCACATAA